GCTTGATAACTTTTGTATCCTGAATTTCATCTGATTCCAAGATGCACATGGCTTTACTGTGAGTATCTCTGAACTCAAGATGTCTTACAGTCTCATGTGTTGTGGTTTAAATGGAAGCATATTTTCTTTCTTTGTGGTACATAAAACAGTGGCAGTCTTATAATCTAGGGCATCTTAGGTTTGATGAGATATGGTGAGTTATTTTCTTTTTTAAACAAAGCAAGGTCCTCCTATACATTCTGTTCTGTTGTTTCTGCAAATATGAATGAAATACAGCAAAAGCGATGGTTGCAAAAGACCATGGCTTTTGTCTTGTTGGTTCTTTTTCTCTGGCTGACATTCTTCCTGGGCCACAGGAGGCCCTGGTCTGTGAGTCAACATAGGGAGCCCAGATGAGTGTGTGGGCCTGATGGTGGTCCTGTGGTGCCACAAGGGCCCTGGTGGCCACTGGTGGCCAGGCCCCAGTTGGACATCCTGGCCTGAGCTGGATGCTGGATGCAGCCAAGGAGGTGCTGTCTCCTGGGATGCTGGACTGTAGTCAGCAGCGGAGTGGCTGCTGCATGAGATGAGAAGGGCCGTGAGTCTGGCGGCGCTATGTTCTGGGTGCTCAGTACAGTGGGTATGGCCACAGAGGGGCCCACAGAGGTGGGCGGGAAGGGTGGAGGCAGGCGTCTGGACAGGCCCAGCCCAGGCCGCTGGTGTGGGTCTGCGTCTACACAGACACTGCTACCACTGTGGCGAATGTGTCCCCTTTTGGGGCAATGCTACCACTAAGCCCGTGGGTAGTCCATTAGGACAGTTCAAGCTTGGCAGGGTGAAAAACAAAACCACGTCAACCACTGGTTTCAATGTCACCATAAGTGGAATGGCGGTACAATGGCTGTCTCTTCTCTATGTTTTAAATTGGTATGAGACTCACACAATTATCTCTGACAAAAAGAGCATATTAGTATTCTTTCATATGCAGATTCTATATAGAAGGAGCCCCATCTACAAAATCAGTGTGAAAACAACGATTTCCCTTTAGAAAAATGACTACCTAGCTGGTGTTTTAAAACGCAAATTCTAAACTCTTTGCAGATCATGACATCTTAGCAGACTTGTTCCAGATAATAGAGAAGTTTAAAACTGAACAGTTACTTGGGTATTTATCTCATAGGAAATGAAAACTTACACCCATAAAGAAACCTGTAGACGAATATTCAAATCATCTTTAGTAGCCCCAAACTGGAAACAACTCAAATGTCCTTCAACAGGTGAATGGCTAAACAAAATCAGGTTCATCCTTATAATAGAATACTACTCAGTGGTAAAGGAAATTAAACTGTTCATAATGCTGGAGAGGGTGTGGAGAAAAGGGAACCCTCTTACACTGGTGGTGGGAATGCAAACTAGTACAGCCACTATGGAGAACAGTGTGGAGATTCCTTAAAAAACTGGAAATAGAACTGCCATATGACCCAGCAATCCCACTCCTGGGCATACACACCGAGGAAACCAGATCTGAAAGAGACACGTGCACCCCAATGTTCATCGCAGCACTGTTTATAATAGCCAGGACATGGAAGCAACCTAGATGCCCATCAGCAGACGAATGGATAAGGAAGCTGTGGTACATATACACCATGGAATATTACTCAGCCATTAAAAAGAATTCATTTGAATCAGTTCTAATGAGATGGATGAAACTGGAGCCCATTATACAGAGCGAAGTAAGCCAGAAAGATAAAGACCATTACAGTATACTAACACATATATATGGAATTTAGAAAGATGGTAACGATAACCCTATATGCAAAACAGAAAAAGAGACTCAGATGTATAGAACAGACTTGTGGACTCTGGGAGAAGGCGAGGGTGGGATGTTTCAAGAGAACAGCATTGAAACATGTATATTATCTAGGGTGAAACAGATCACCAGCCCAGGTTGGGTGCATGAGACAAGTGCTCGGGCCTGGTGCACTGGGAAGACCCAGAGGGATCGGGTGGAGAGGGAGGTGGGAGGGGGGACCGGGATGGGGAATACATGTAAATCCATGGCTAATTCATTTCAATGTATGACAAAAACCACTGCAATGATGTAAAGTAATTAGCCTCCAACTAATAAAAATAAATGAAAAAAAAAAAAAACTACATGACCCAGAAAAAACAAAAAACTGTTCATAGATGCAACCCCTGGATGGATCTCAGGAGAATGATGCTTAGTGAAGAAAGCCAGTCTCAAAGGTTGCCTACTCTGCGAGTCCATGTGCATAACACTCTCAAAATGACAAAACCAGTGAGATGGAGAACAGATTAGAGGTTGTCAGGGGACGAGGTGTGCTTGCCTGTGATTGTGAAGGGAAGCATGAGGAAGGTCCTATGTGGAGATGCATCTGGTCTGGGTCTTGATTTCAGAGGTGGTGACACCAGTCTATTCCTGGGGAAAAATTACGTAGACGCACACACACAAATGAACACATGAGAAAAAAATTGGCAGGAACAGAATAATAGCTGACAATATCACACGCAGGTCAGTCTCCTTTTGACAGCGGACTACTGCTGTACAGGCCGTGGTCACCACTAGGGGAGGCTGGGCAAAGGGTCCACAGAACCCCGAATCATTTGTATTATTGCTGTGACTTCCTGTGAGTCTGTAATGATTTCCAAACAGAAAGTTTAAAAAGCCTCTAAACATTAGGAGTTATTGAAGATGAATATAAATAAAGAAAGAAGGCTTCACCCTGGCTGCTGGGGTTCATTTTACTCATGCTTGATCACACAGTGCCGTTCAAGGGCAGGAGTTCAAGTGCAGAGTGTGTTGAGCTTATACACTTGTGAATTTGATCTGTCTAATCCCCTTAGAGTTCATTCTTGTCCAGGAGCCCAAGGACCTTCATACAAAATGCCAGGGAATGCAGGCAGTTCAGGGTGGCAGGTAGCATGAGTGGATCCCCTTAGAATGTCTACATGGTATCAAAATTAAGTTTTGCGTCTTTCCTTTTCAGGGTCCCACTTAGAAATTCACTGCAAACCAAGACTCCGTTCACAGCCGGGCAGTGGGGTCGGGGACACAGAACAATTGAAAAATGGCCAACATTTCCTGAGCTTCTGCTGTGTGCCCCTTTCCCAAGTAAGGTCACATTCACAGGTTCTAGAGATTTGAGGTAGATGTATCTTTGAGGGGCCACCATTCAGGGAGACTCAGCTAGCAAGAAGCTGGACTAGGACATGAAGTTGTTCTGGTCTGATCATCTAGATGCTGGGGGCGGGGGAGTTGGCCTGGCCACCTGGCAACCTCTCGTGCTGAGCCCAGCAGGACCATGTAAGCAGTGGGCTGTCAATCACTCTGTGCTGAATGATGGAAAGAACAAATGAATGATGGGAGTAAGGAAGGAAAGAACTCCCACTTCCAAAGAGCAAGGGCTTTTCCTTCTAGTTTCACTGTCCACCAGGAAAAGGTTGGGTCGAAGCTTGTCAACTGAAATGAGAAGTGGCTTTGTCCCTGGACTCTCAGTCCCCTTCAGTCCCACGGTCATCATTTTGTTGGAGACCAGAGGTCACTGGCAGGGAAGTGGATTCCTCCTGTTGCTCTTCTCGCCTTCCGGCAGTGGCCACGGGTCCTTTTAACAGAGTGGCCCTTCCAGGGGTGGCCCCATATCCTCCTCTCTGGGTGTGGTGCCCACTCGGGGGGCCACTCAGCTCTCCCTGCCAGCTTCAAAGGCAGCCCTTTCAAGAGCGCAGACAGAGTTCAGCTGTCTGTGCCTGCGAATCGTTGTGAGTCTGGGCGGGAATCCTAGAGAGTCGCAAGCAGCTCCGATTCCCTTTTAGGGCCAGTCAATCCCCCCGTCCCTGACGCCTTTGAAGCCCCAGCTGGGGATCTGTGCCGCCTCAAGCAGAGCTCAAGGAGGGAACACAGGTGGCTGGGTCGTTAGTGGGGAACGAGGGGCATCACCTCTAGGCTGAGGATCCAGAGCTCCAGGCGGGTTTCTGTGTCCCCTTGGGGACTCAGGGCTTCTGAAGGGATAATCCCAGGAGTTGTGGCCTCACTGACACCCTCCGTGGGTCACAGGTCCTCGGGCCCATGCTGGCCAGGGTGTGGCACCCTCGTGGGGGAGAGTTTGGCCAGTTCAGGGAGAGCCCAGAGGGCCAGAGGAGGCAAGTGGAACACAGTCTGGGACGGGCTATGGGCTGTGATTTTTATGCCAAGGGATTTGGACCTCATCCTGTGCTTGAGGGGAGGGCCAGAAGCTGTCAGTCAAATGAGGTGTCCCTTCATCTGAGGGGAGTCTGGTTTCCTACCTGTTGCTGTTGTTTAGTTGCTAAGTCATGTCCAGCTCTTAGCAACCCTATGGACTATAGCATGCCAGGCTTCCCTGTCCTTCATTGTCTCCTGGAGTTTGCTCTAATCCATGTCCATTGAGTCAGTGATGCCATCCAACCATCTCATCCTCTGTTACCCCCTTCTCCTCTTGCTCTCAATTTTTCCCAGCATCAGGGTCTTTTCCAGTGAGTCAACTCTTTACATCAGGTGGCCAGAGTATTGGAGCTTCAGCTTCAGCATCAGTCCTTTCAATGAATATTCAGGGTGGATTTCCTTTAGGATTTATTGGTTTGATCTCCTTGCTGTCCAAGGGACTCTCAAGAGTCTTCTCCAGGACCACAATTCAAAAGCATCAATTCTTTGGTGCTCAGTCTTCTTTGTGGTCCCACTGTCACATCCATACATGACTATGAGAAAAACCATAGCTTGGACTAGATGTACCTTTGTCAGCAAAGTGATGTCTCTGCTCTTTAACATGCTGTCTAGGTTTGTCCTAGGTCTTCTTGTCATCGACTGTGTGGTTTTGAAACATAGTGGCAAATTGTCTGACACATGTCTTCTGCAGGACGGGTCTGGGTCTATGTCCACGGGCTCCTTGTCCTTCCTCTTGAATCTCCAAGGGCTTGGGACTGCTTTGACTGATGGAATACAGTGGAGGTGATTCTATATGACTTCCAAGGTTAGGTGATAAAAGACCATGCCACTTTTGCCTTGTTCTCTGGATCCATTGCCCTTGAAGAAGCACCTGCCAGGTGAGAAGTTCAACTACACTGAGGCTACCATGCTGTGAGGACGCCCAGGCCACATGGAGAAGCTAATGTAGATGCTTGGATTGTCAGTTCCAAATGAGCCCAGGTTTGGAGTCATCCCAGCCTGGGCACCAGGCAGGTGAGTGTTGGAGGCTGCAGAGGGTTCCAGCCTCAGCCTTTCCGGTCTCCCAGCTGGGGCCCCAGACGTCACAGAGCAAAGATAAGTCACCCACCCTGTGCCTTGTCTGGATTCTTGACCCATCGACGTGTTAAATGGTGGTTGTTTGATGCCACTAAGCATAGGTTGGCTATGTTCCACAGCAATAGACACCTGGAATGTTATCAATAATCCGAGGAAGTCAGGGATCTTGGCCCCGGTTGCTCTCTCTTGGGCAAGGCATGTGGTCAACATGTGAGAACAGGTCTGGGGTGGGAGCGGCACAGAGGCAAACACACAGTGCCTTGCAAACAGAAGGGAGCCCTGTGTGACATGTGAGTTAAACTGGTAACTCCCTGGTAAATGTGAATGGAGAGTTCTGGGGATGCCCCCAAACTCCATCCAGTGTTGTCTGGGGCAATCTCAGGGAGGTCTCACTATTGGATGAGACTGAAGTTTTTGAAACAGAAGCCTCATCCGCTGTGTTGGGTCCATCAAGAGAAACAACCTGGTGATGACCACAGCCCAAGATGGGAGGGGCTGCCCCCCGCCCAGCTCTGTCCACCCGGGAGGATGGTTTCACCCCTCCTCTGCCTCTGGTTCTGGTCTCACCCACAGATGCCTTTCCCTGATGGTGCCCCGGACCATCTGCCCCAGGCCCTTCACCAGCTTACCCCTCACCTGGGCACCAGGCCCCAGCTGCGTCCTGAGTATCCAGCACACTGTCTGCACAGAGTAACTGCTCATGAGGACTTGGTGCACGAGTAGGTGGCTTAAAACAACAGAGAACTATATTCTCAGAGCTCTGGAGGCTGGAAGTCTGAAATCAAGGTGTCGCAGTACCATCTCCCTCTAACGGCTCTAGGGGAGAATTCTTCCTTGCCTCCCCCAGCCTCTGGTGGTCTTTGACGTTCCTTGCCTTGCAGATACCTCACTCCAGTCTTGTCTATGTCACCTCTTGGCTGTTCTCTGCCTGTTTCTTTCTATCATCTTCTCTGGTGCACATCTGTCTCTGTGTCCAATTTCCTCTTCTTATAAGGACACCAGTCATAGAGCCCACTCTAATGACCCCACATTAACTAATTATATCAGGAACGACCCTATTTCCAAATAAGGTCACATGCTGAGACACTAGGGGTTAGGACTTCAACATATCTTTATAGGGACACAATTCAGTCCATGATAGCTTGGGCAATCTTTGAATTAAGGATATGATCCCAGGATGTTGACAAGACTTCTGAGCCAGAATGGCCATCATTAAGAAGTCTACAATTTGTAGAAGTCTACAAATGCTGGAGAGAGTATGGAGAAAAGGGACTCCTCCTACACTGTTGGTGGAAATGTCAGTTGGCACAACCACTGTGGAGAACAGTCTGGCGGTTCCTCAGAAAATTAAAGATAGAGTTGTTACATGATCCAGTAATCCTGCTCCTGGGCATGTATCTGGACAAAAATCTAATTCAAAAAGACACATGTGTTCTATGTTCATAGCAACACTATTCACAATAGCCAAGACATGGGAACAACCTAAATGTTCATCAACAGATAAATGGATAAAGAAGATGTGATGCGTATATATGATGAAAAACTGCTCAGCCATAAGAAAGAACAAAACGGTGCCATGCACAACAACATAGATGAAACCACACACTATCATACTAAACAAGACAGAAAGGCAAACACCATGTGATATCACTTATATGTGGAATCTAGAATATGGCACAGATGAACTTACCTATGAAACATAAAGACTCACAGACATAGAGAACAAACTCTTGGCTGCCAAGGGGAAGGCAGTGTGGGAGGGATGAACTGGGAATTTGGGGTATGTAGATGCAAACTATCATATATAGAATGGATAAACAGCAAGGTCCTACTATATTACACAGTGCATGACTCGGTTGTGTTCGACTCTTTGTGACCCTATATCTGTGGCCCACAAGGTTCCTCTGTCCATGGGATTCTCCAGGCAAGAATAATGGAGTGGGTTGCCATTTCCTCCTCCAAGGGATCTTTCCAATCCATCTTCGGATAAACCATAATGGGAAAGAATTTTGAAAAGAATGTATGTACGTGTTATCCGAGTCATTTTGTTGCACAACAGAAATTAACACAACATTGTAAGTCAACTATACTTCAATAAAGAAATAATTTTTAAAAGTTCTGAACCAGCAGAATGTGGAGGTATGGGGGGAAATCAAGCCGGGGTGGAGCACCTATGATACTTCCCTGGGGGGGCCTCTTGGGGACCCAATGCAGCAGCATTGGGAGCTTACCACACCATCCAAAGGCAATATTTTTATTATCTTACTGCTGTCTCTTCAGAAGACAGCACTCATTACCGCATGATCATTTTATTCACTGTGAGCTCCAGGAAGAGTAGTGTCCTCATATATATCTTTTGAGTGCTTATATCCCCAGCCCCCAGCACAAGGTGTCAATAAACATTGATTGAGTGCATGAATGAATGATGACTTGTCGGCAGGGTAAAAGGTTTCCAAAAGCTCCTTTGAACCACTGTCAAGAGGCAGAGACCAGTCAAGGGGACCAGGGAGGTGCCCGCAGCCACGGGTTGTCACACAGAAAGCATCTGAAATTGATTTGAGGAGTTTTCAACCTGAAAGCAAATTGCTGCCTGAGCCTTCAACGGAGATAAGGGGTCTGTGTCCCGTGATAACGAGCCCCTGGGAGCCGTGGAGGCGCTGGGATCAGCGCACACCCGGTCCCATGGATAGACCGGTGGGGGTAAATATAGAACAACAGGAAAGCAGCGGCTGCTGAGCCCTCCCTCCTGACTGCGGTGGCCAGACGTGACCAGGGGAGGGCTGCTAACTCGCCCTCTCCGCGCCGATCGTGCCCACGCCGGGTGAGGCCACGGTGACCCGGGACAGTGACCGCGGGCTCAGCCTGTGCCCTTGTCAGTCTGTCTCGAGAGAAACATTCAGACCAGCTGGTTCCTGGCCAGTGAGCAGACCCAGCAAACACTGTAATGTTTCTCCTCAAACTGCATTATACAAACCCACTTCAGGGATTGCCAAATCCTTCCACAAACACCATTCAAAGAGTGCTCTCGCGTCCCAACACCCACTCACAGCGGCTCAGTACAGCATTACCCCCACAAAGCCTAAGAACCCAAGGTGTGGCGGGGTCACGTGTTTTAGCCAACGTCATGCAGCTGGGAAGCAGCGCTCAGGGCTGCCTGGGGCTAAAGTTTGCGCTCTAACCATGACACCCCTCCTCCAACCCCACCAGCCTGAGCTTATCTGTGGGGAATCTTGGCTTTGGGTTCTCAGATGGAAACTTCCTTAGGCCTAGCCTCCTGTCTGAACTGAGACTCGTGGAAAATGGGAAGGGGAAGTAACATTTGTTGAGTTACTATTAGTGTAGTAATAGTACACTATTAGCTCCATTTTACAGTCAAGAAAATCAAGGCTCAGTGAGGTGGAGTAAACCCCCAAGGTTTCATGGTGGCAGAGCTGGGATGATAATATAAGTCGGTGGGTACTAAAACCAGTGCTTGCTCCGTTACCCCATGGCCTCTTCCATGGGAGGCCTCCCTACCCTCCCTCCTCCAATGTCCAGTGCTTCTTCAGCCAAGTCCTTGTCTGTCCCACAGGGACTCCTTTTTTAAGGACTGGTCAGCTACAGGCTCTGCTTGCCTGTGGTTGTAGGGTGTGGCTGGTCCTCCCACCCTGGTCAAGATCAGCTGGAGATGACCACAGCCCACAGGAACCTCTCCTATAGACTCAGGGTGAAGCTGCGCTGCAGATAACCAATGAAGATTGACAAGGTCCTGGGGTGAGGCCATCACCGCTATCATAACCACCACCACCATTATCACCACCACCACCATTATCACCACCACCACCACCACCACCACCACTACCACTTCAGCCACGGCAGCCCCCGCCGGCCAGGCCCCGAGCCGGGGGCCAGCGACGCCAGGCTGGTGCGGGCCGGAGTGCCAGCCTCACCCGGGCACGGGCCCCCTGACGCCGAATCGGTGCACAGCGTGTACCACGCTGACTGCCACGTGGAGGGGCCGCAGGAGAGGGCCCGCGTGGCGCACACCGCGGCCACTGCTGCCGCTGGGCTCAAGCTGGCCGCGGGGCTGGGAGCCATGAACTACCCCACCATCCTGCCCTCAGCCACGGGCAGTGGCAAAGGCGGCCTCGGGCCCAAGGCGAAGCGGCCTGGTGGCCCCCCGGGAGCTGGGGGGCACAGCCCCCTGAGGCTGAGCAGCCCGGATCCCTGCGAGAAGATCCAGCACCTGGTTGGGGAGCATGGTAAGGNATCAGGTGGCCAAAGTAATGGAATTTCAGCTTCAGCATCAGTCCTTCCAATGAATATTCAAGACTGATTTCCTTTACGATAGACTGGCTGGATCTCCTTGCAGTCCAAGGGACACTGAAGAGTCTTCTCAATTCTTTGGTGCCCAGCTTTCTTTATAATCTAAAAGCAATAATCTCCCTTAAAATGTAATTACTAAAAAGTCAGAAAGATGTATGTAACATCTTTACATACATACAAGGATGTATGGAACAAGTTCTCATTTATCTTCTCAGTAAGATCTGAAAGGACACAGCCTTTGGAAAATAAGATTAAGCAGTAGTGAAAAGAAAATAGTCTGAGAGTCAGAAAAATATTCTAGGGGGTGAAAATCATGATGATCAGAAATTTAAAATGTCATGGAGGAAGCAACAGGAATTTGAATACTATAAAATACCGAACTTGTGAATTAAAGAGAAATTCTCTTAAAACACAGAGAAAAAGACTGAAGGAAGGACACGAAGCGGAGGGTAGGAGCCACGGTGAAAAGCCCCACAGACCCACCATGCACACAGCTTATGTGCGCTAGAAACAGAAACAAGCATAAAAGAAAAATTGGAACAGAAACAAGAATCAAAGAGATAACAGAAGGCCATTCCTTACCTGAAAAATGTTTCCCTTATCAAAGATAAAAAAAACTTTAAAAATTAGAGCAAATCAATCAGTATCTGGACATATTCTGCCGAAGTTTTTAAATTTAAAGGATCTTTCCCATTAGCCCCTGAAAAAATTGGTTTTCAGAAGGACGGAAAACTAAGGTTAATGTCAATCTGCTTCCTTAGAGTATAAGACAGTAGTGGTGGTGGTACTGTATCAGTTAGCTGTTGCTGCATAACAACCATCCTCCCAACCCCAAGAATGGATGCAAACAATAAACATGTATTACTGCTCTTGAGTTTACTGGTCAACTACCCAGCTTTCTGGTCTTGGCAGGGCCTACTCATGCCAACTAAATGTCATCATCTCTGTGATCATGCCTGGCCTCACTCATGTGTTTGGGGCCCCCTGGCTGTGGGATGGTTTGGGATGACCTGAGCTGGATAACTGGGCTCTCCTCATAGTCTCTTATCCTCCAGCTGGCTACCTCTGGCTCACTGTAATGACAGTGACAGGGTTCCGATAGGGCAAGCAGAAGCAGTCAAGATCTCCTGAGGACAAGGTCAAAACTGGCACACCCACTTCTATGAGATCCTACTGGGGTAAACAAGCTGCAAGGCCAACCCAGATTCTAGGGCTAAAGAAATAGACTCCACTTCTTGATGAGAGGAGCAGCAAAGACACATTGTAAAGGACATGGATTCAAGGAGAGACGAATCAGTTCAGTTCAGCCACTCAGACCTGTCTGACTCCTTGCAACCCATGGACTACAGCACGCCAGGCCTCCCTGTCCATCACTAACTCCCGGAGTTTACTCTAACTCATGCCCATTGAGTCGGTGATGCCAACCAATCACCTTATCCTCAGTTGTCCCCTTCTCCTCTTGCCTTCAATCTTTCCCAGCATCAGGGTCTTTTCCAATGAGTCAGTTCTTCACATCAGGTGGCCAAAGTATTGGAGTCTTAGCTTCAGCATCAGTCCTTCCAATGAACACCCAGGACTGATCTCCTTTAGGATGGACTGG